CGTCTCTTGTGATCAAAGGTGATCGTTCAATTGATAAATTTTCTAATGAAAAAGTTGAAGATTCTTGCATACCTATTTCAGCATATAATTCCATTATTGGCATCACATTCTGGCTCTGAAATGCTTCTATCATGCATTGTACATCATCATCGTCACTCAATTCCAATGAAGAATATATGTTGTTATCATCTTGTGAAACTAAAAATCTGTGACTTACAGATAATATCACTTGATTTGACTTAAGACCAAATTTGTTGTGAATCCTTCTCTTTAATATATCAAAAGTTATACCTCGTTTAATATACATTCCTTTTCTTGGTCCATCAAATGTTACACCTTCAAGACCTTCATACATCTTTCTAGTGTAAATATAAACAATAATTTGATCCATAATATCTGTAAAAAAATAAAAAAAAATTAGTACAAATAGCTACAATTTATATTTTAAGAACAATAAAATTTTACTCAAATTTCAATCAGAGCAAAATGTAACTGGTAGGAGGGGTATATAAGATTTCAAATGATGATTTAAAATGTGCACAAAACGTGACTGACACCGATGTAATTTTTACTAAGTGTTACACCGCTCAATAATCTTATTTTAAATGTGAATTTTGAAAATTTAACCAAGGGAGGTTATAATTACACATAAAATGATATGAACTCTTTTAATTTAATGGTTGAATTTTTAAAATTCACATTTATATATAAAGTTATTATACCGCTCAATAACTTTATATTAAATGTGAATTTTGTAAATCCAACCGTTAGATTGAAAGTTCATATATCTTAGATCATATATACAAAATTTTATATTAATTCAAAATAATTTGATACTTGATTCTTATAAAAAAAAATTGACATGATATTCATTTGAAAATACATTAAAATATAAACACTTTGATTATCTTTAAGTTGTTGTTCAATTTTAACAAAATTTGATATACACGTATAAAGTGATATGAACTTTCAATCTAACGGTTGGATTTACAAAATTCACAATTAATATAAAGTTATTGAGCAGTGTAATACTTAGTAAAGTTACACCGGTATAATTATAAACCCCTCATATATATATATATATATAA